GCAGGGTTAGAGGCTGAGCCAGCCCCCATCTGCAGGGTTGGAGGCTGAGCCACCCTGGGTTAGAACACAGCTGAGCTGGTGGCCATGTCTGCCTGTGTCTGACCACACTCTCTGACCAGGCAGCAGTTTTTAACCTCCAGCATTTCTTATAAGTTTCACGACAGGCCTCAGGCTTCACTGCTGGGGTAACCGTGTGGTGTGGGGATTTGGGGGCATGTCATTTTTCTCTTCCATGTCTGATCTTGGCTCTCAGGGCTTTACCCCCACATGTGACAGCAACCTGGGGACGCCCCGAGTATCCTAGCTGTAGTACCCTCTAACCTCACTCTCTGGTGAGCTGGTTTTCATAGAAACCAGAAGAAGTGTCAACATGGTGGCGGCAACTGGGGGGCCCAGCCCAGGACACTCACCCTGCAGCTGGCGGCCTTTGTACAGGTCCCTGGCTCTGGCGGGGTGTGCCCTGGCCGTGTTGTCACATTTCGGCTGCTCATACCTGCGGTGGGAGAAAAGACAAACACCTGGTCTGAGGCATGGACATTGTTTCCTCCAGTTCTCCAGTGTCTGCCTGTCCTGACCCCAGCACCCAGCAGGGAACATGGTTCTGGGGTGACAGCACCTTGGATGGGACTTCAGTCCTGTCCGTCACCTTTCTGAAAACTTGGTCTAGTGAGACGATTGCTCAGTCCCCAGGAAGAACGTGGCCAGGGGGTGGCTCTCAGCGCAACTCCCCCGCCAACACCTCCTGCCGCCTGTGTGTGACTGAAAAGTGAGGTCTCGTCCTCGGCACAGTCAGAGTGTGGAGGGCAGGGGGTGTGAGCACAGGAAAGGTGTGTGGGAGGGCGGGCAGTGGGATGGCCACTTATCCCGGGGAAGGGGCAGCATTGCAGACGTCACACTGATGTATTACTCAAGGAATAACCCATTTTTAGTCCAACTCAAGAAGTTATAGAAGTTCGTCTGACTGTTAAAAAAAAATCTACTCCTGGTCCCAGCATCAATGGGACCTACAGAAAAGCTCTGGTGGGGGCAGGACCTGAAGTCCTAGCAGGTGGGGTGGCCCGCTGCCCCAGCAAAGCTATTGAACTGACCAGGGGAGCCAGGGCTCCTCAAACCAAAATCAGATAGCATGTGACACAGCCAGACACATGAGTCCCATAGCTTTTGACAAATGCTTGTTCTGCTCCGATGCTGTGGTGTGGGGGACCCAGTGGGACTCAGCCTGTCTAGGGAGGACACAGGTGGCTGAAATAGAGTATGTGGCCACCGTGGGACTCTGCCTCCCAGAGTCCTGCCTCCAAACCAGGGCCAGCTTCTTTCAGCCAGAGTTCCTCACCATGGCTGTCATCAAGCCTAGTCCAAGATGATGAGGGGGCATGAGGAGCCACCAGGCAGGACCATTCTGGGACATAGGGGGGTCCTCGGATGGCAACTCCAGCCCCTGGAATCCGACTACTTGAGGTGCAGGTGTTGGTAACCTCCTTGTGAACTGAGGGGCCCTGGGGTTTATTCCACATCTTTGCAACTGTGAATTGTGCTGCAATCACCATTCACGTGCAGGTGTCTTTTTGATAAGATGACTTCTTTTCCTTTGAGTAGATACCCAGTAGTGGGATTGCTGGATGGAATGGGAGGCTTGCTCTGATGTATTTGAGGAGTCTCAGCACCGTTTTGCACAAAGCTTTGCTGATTTGCAGTCCCACCCACAGCTAGAGCCTTCCTTTCTCTCTGTAGCCACAACTGCATCTATGGCTTCTGGACTTTTTAATAGAATCCATTCTCGTTGGGATAAGGTGACGTCTCATTGCAGTTCTAATTTGCTTCTCCTGATAAGTGAAATTGAGCAATTTTTCACATGCTTATTGGCATTTGTCCATCTTCTTTTGAGAAACTTCTGTTTCTATCTTTTGCCCACTTTTAACTGGGGTTGTTCATTTTCCTCTTGCTGATTATGGATTCTATATTTTAGCTTTGCATTGGATGTCTCGGGTGTGCTTATTTTCTCCCATTCTGTAGACTATTTGCTCTATTGATTATTTCCTTAACTTTGCAGGAGCTGCTTGAAATTATGAGTCTTTGCTATATACCAGCTATCACATTCTAACTCATAGCCATGAGCTCACATTCTTTGGAAATGTGTATATATGGGGCTGTTTGTGTTAGAGTGTGTGTGTGTAAAGACAAAACCTCCCCGGGGGAGCACACACAAGGACTCAGCTGGGGCTGGGCTCAGGAAGCTCTGGCTTGTCCCCAAATGATGAGCCTGGAGATGCTGGGCACTCCTGGGGTGAAAGGTCCTTAATTCAGGTTCTAGTTGGTGCCAGAGAGGCAGGGTGAGGCTGGGGTTATGCCTGGATGGGGGAAAAACTTCACACCCAGGGGCTTGTAGAATGTGAGTTATAAAGAGACAAGAAAACACCCCAGCATCTCCTGATTAGGGGACCCTCTAGAGTCAGGAGAGTGGACGCTGACAGGGCTTTGTGCGCTGCCCCAGCCTCTTGGGGACCCAGCACTCTCCATCCACACGGGTGGTACAGTCGCCTCCTTTCCTGTTCCCAGTCTGAATCTTCTAACTGAGCACAGGGAAGCTCGGCCTGGGACAGCTATTCTACTTTTGTTCCGAGTTTGGGCTGGAGATGTGTCAAAAAGCCCATCACTGATGCTGATATGGAAATGCACATTTGAGCAGCAGCATTACGCTCCCTAAGAGAGTAGTAGGAAAAGCCTGGAACTTGCACAAATGGTATCAATACCTCTGACATCTCAAATCTGAAAAGAAATTCAGATTTGATGTCAATCACCATTCTTTTAAATAGTGTGTTTATATTAACCTGCTTGTACAAGAAAAAAAAAATGAACATTGCTTATCTGTGCCATGTAGCAGCTTCTCTCCTGGGGAGAAGTGCAATTCATGCCATGTGGCCACCTGCTCACATCAGTGGGGGACAGTGCTGGAGTCAGGGACATGGGTGGGAACAGATGGCAGCTGCACAGTGAAGGGCAAACCTCTCTCTTCTGGGCACTAATGTAGTCGCTGGCAATCAGCCTGATTCGCACTTAATCTAAGAGCCCATTCCAGCCATTCCAGCTCTCTTCCCACTGTCAGTGGCCAGGTCGAAACGTGTCCTTTGCCCCAGCTTAGCTCTGACAACAGGTGCCTGGGCTCTGTCCTTCACAGGATTGGCAAACCACAGCCAAGATGTTGATTTCAACACAAAAGGGCAGGAGAACTAGGCAGTTCTGGAGCCTCTGTGGCACCTCTCTGTCCAGAAGCCCCTCCAAGCAGAGACTCCCCCGGGGGAGCTGCCTCCCCCATGGGTGCTGTTCCTGAGTGGTGCGTCTTCATTCTCTTGGACAGAGACCAGAGGAGACAGAGCAGCTGGTAAGGGATGATACTGTTTTTATAGCTTTTCACTGCTGATGAATTTTTAAGGTTTTCTTCCCCATCGGGAAATACAGAAGATGCTTGAGGAAAGCACTAGAGCTGCCACCCAAGTACAGGCTAAAACTGCACAGTGTCTCCCCACATCTGCTTATTTCAGGAAATCACCTTGATGGGACACGGGCTATTCACCCAGTCAGCAGAAGCCTGCGATGCGGCAGCATTACAGCACACACAGAGGGAACAGGCCGGGGGTGCTGGCTGCAGCTCTGCAGACACTGCTCCCCAGAGGTGATCTTGACTGAGCCCCCAGGATGCAGGTCTGCCTGGATGGATTTAAAACACCCCACTTTTTCTGCCAGCGATGGGGTTAGCCAGGGGCATATGATCCGTGGACTCGTTCCAGAGGAGTGTTTTGGCTCCTAAGGAGGAAAGAGGTGGGCTCCTGTGTCCTCTGAGCACTGTGCCATTGGGATGAGACGTCAGGTCTGCTGCAGCCACCTTGTGACCAAGAGGGGTCCTGCCTGGGGGTCGAGCCCACAGCAGATGTCAGAGCAGATTTGGGAGATGTGTCCCAGGCAACACCTTCAAATGATGATCTGGACCCAAACTAAGCTTGCCGCCCCCTGTGCCCCTCAGCGAGGTGCCTGCCGGGTTGTTCACACCCAGCTGTCAGGTTTCTCATCTCAGTACTTAGAACCCAAATCTTCCTAATTGATGTGCCACACCTCCTGCTCAAAACTGCCCCTAATCTGGCCCTGGGACCTCTGCTGTGCAGTGTCTGCATCCTCTGGCCGGGCTGTCCCTCTGTGATGTCCTTCCCCTGCTCCCTGACTCAGTGTCAGCATTTCAGGGAGTTACACCTGGCCATTCATTCATGGCGCCCCCCGTTCCACAGTCCCTCTCCCGATTCTTGTGAATTTTCCTCCAGAACCTTTGTCATTGTACAGCATGCTTACTTATATTTTGCTCATCTGCTGATGTTTTCAGGGTGAGTGAAAGCAGGGGCTTGTCTGTTGGGGTCACTGAATGGTATACCCCTAGCTGCTAGAGCAGTACCTGGAGCTTTGTGGGGCTTCAACTGTTTACTAAATAGAAGTGAATAGACAGGAATGGGTGTTTTTGCAGAGCAGCTAAGAAACCATCTCGCTGTTCACTGGGCCATTCTGGCAGCTTCTCCTGGTGCCAGAGTGTGACCTTACTTCTATCCAGGCAGGGCATCAAGGCTCTGTCCCTGCTGTGGCTTCACACTGCTGTCCCCAGTGCCCCCCCCCATGTCTCTCCCTAGTCTAGTACCCCCAGCTTGCCCCTTTGGGGCTCTAAGCTTCCTATGCTCTTCTTGGAGTCCCCAGGCCTGGCTGTGACCAGCTCCACGTCTCAGGCTCACAGAGGCCTGTCCTGGCCGGCCTGAAACTGCCCCTACTGGGCCCCATAGCCTGCCCTACTGTGTCCCTCACCCCTTTAACTGGCTGCACAAGTAAAAGACACTATAGGGGTGGGGGCTCTCCCCTTCTGCTTTTCTAACAAAATCAAGACTTTTTTGGATATAGAATCTATTCTGAGTGGTTGTGGGTACCAGGGAGGTGACCCCAGCCCAGCCCTGGGTGCTGAAGAAAGGAACATGATGGGCCCTTCCTGGCTACTTGCCAGACTGGCCAGTCCAGGGTCGGGTGCACAGGGAGGTCCGAGCCAGGCCAAGGGAGGAGAAGCACACCGTGGGTGGGCGGGAGGCTTTCCTTACTATCAGAAGAGAAACCGTCTTTTTCTTTCAAAGAAGGTAGCTGCAGCTACATACGATGTCTCTAGAAACCGTGGCAGGAGCCTTAATGCACACCGTGAAGTCCAAGTTGGCAGAGCAGAGAGGGGAAAGTGGCTGTCGCGATTAAGTCTGTGGACTGCTGAGATCACCAAGGAGAGCCCGTCTCATGAGAGCTGTGGGAGGCAGTGAGTCTTGAGACTAGCAGGCTTGGGGATTTTCAGCAGTGGGCAAAGCAGCCCCACCATGAAAAGCTCTTTGTCTGATGTCCCCACACAGGACACAGAGAATGGACCCAGCTGGGGAGGGGGTGGGGGGGCTGTCCCCTGCTTCTCCTCCAAATGTTGCTGATGCTGAATGAATGAAAAAATAACAAAGACAAAAATACAGCAGGAGCCTAGGGAGACTGCTCCGGGGGTTAATTTAAGGCGCTGTCTTGAAACTGAGAGAGGAGAGAACTACTCCCTCCTGCAGGAAGGGGCAGGGAGTAAGAGCTCGGCACTTGCCTTTCCAGCACAAAACTGGGATAAATTTGGGGAAGAATGAAACAGGGCAGATGGCAGGGAAGCGGGAACCCATGTTCCCGTGGGTGCTCTGTGATCACGCTCACAGGTTCTTCAGGGACACCCCCGTCAGTGCTGGCCTCATGCCTGCAGGGCCCCAGGCTGGCAGCCAGTGCCAGGCAAGTGGCTGATAGTGATCTTTCACCTCCACTTAGCTGCAGCTGGTACGAGCCTGAGTTGGGAGGGCAAGCCCCCCACATACACAGTAACCAGGCCGAAGTCCTGGCATGCAGGAGCATCGCTTCCCAGAGCCCCTCAGAGAAAGAACAGCCTACATACATGTGCACAGGGACCAGGGAGTCTCAAACCAGAACGCTGAGAAGATTAACGCTCTCCCTGAGACATGCAGAGCACACATGTTTGAAATAAGCCCTGGCGTCAACCCCGCAGAAGCCAAGCCTCAGCGGCTGGCCTCGGCGCCCACCTGGAACCTGCCCTGTGCAGGCTCCTTCTCTGGCTGCAGTTCAGAGCAGGTCCAGGGTGAGCGATGGCTGCAGCTGGCAGGCGGGGTCAGCCCCCACACGGCCGTTCTCCAGGCAGCAGGGCTCCTGAGCTTTGCCACATAGGCTGGAGATGACATCGTGGCTAAATTTGATAAGACTTGAAAGGTAATATTTTCATGTTTGTGAACTGTTTTTATATAAATCTAAGAAAAAGAATCAAAGAAAGGTGCATAAAAAGAGCTGAGATACATTTCCGCTCACGTTTATACATTTCCTCGGACAGGGAACTCTTGCTCTTCAGATGCTATTATGAAATTATTTGCTTTGCTCAAACTCACACAAAACCTGAGTGAACAAGTTGTTCTTATATTACAGACCCCTGAAAACTGCTTTGACCCTGGCCCATCCCACATTCTCACTTTTCTGAAGTGACGATTTCAGGACCCACGTATCTGTACAAAGCCTCCCTGGACTCCTGCAGCTCAGTCAATGTTGAGCTCCTTGCCAAAGCCCCAGGGCCTTCGCAGTATGTAGCCCAGCCTGGCACAGGGAAGGCCGTGGCCCTAGAGGAATGCTGTGCTCTGGTGTCCGACGGCCTCAGCCATCACTTTTCCCAGGTGGCCTCTGCACAGAAAGCAGAGGACATGGCTGGTGTTTACATAGCCACCACTCAGAGGTGGCTGGTCCAGACTGACCTTGTCCAGCAGGTGCCAGCACCACAGTGGGTAGAGGGGGACACAGGAGGGACATAACTGCTTGCTGTTCATGCCCCTGAGCCCCTTACTGTGGGTGCTTTACCTTGTGGATGTGCCAGGAATGGGGCGTCCTGTGTCCACCAGGACACACCAGCAGTACCCCGTGGAGGGGTGGCACTGCACAGGCTTGTAGAGGCCGCCATGTGCACACTCGGGGATCACCACGTTCTCGTTCTTGGGCTGCCTGGCTTCCTCAAGGGCCGACTGATGCTCCTGGTCACAGGACGACACTGCAGTGAAGGAGGAGACAGAAACATCAGCAGAGCCCAGGGGATCCTCATATACAGAGCTTCTGGAAAGTGCCTCCGGGAAGGCACAGAGAATGGGCCAAAGAAGGGGTGGTCAACTCTGGGCATGGTCCACGTCCTGGTCCCATCAAGTCCAAGGTGCTCCCACAATCGCTGACCTAAGGTGTCCTTGAAAAGGATGGACATGCTTTCCTTAGCACATGGTGAACTCACAAGTCAGCATACACAGTCACCTTGGACAGGTGACCCACAGGTGGACCTGACACCCAGGTCAGACCCAGACCTGAGGCTGGACTCTTCCAGGCCCCAGAGCCACAAGCCAATGGCACACGTGCCAAGTGTCCTGCAGAGAAGAGCTTGTCTGGCTTTAGGACACCCCTTGTACAGCCCCTCCGGGGAGGCAACCTGGCTGAACACCCCTCTCCCTTCCCCAGGCCCAGCGGAGGCTGAGTCTAGGCAGAACAGGGTCTCCGTGTCTGCAAGCACAAAACAGGGCAAAGTTCCTCTGCAGTATTTCTGAAGCAAGCTTTTCTATTAGAAATTAGCAAAGAATAAGAGTCCTCTGTCCTTACTGGACAATGTTCTTACTGAGGTCAGGGGCCAGGCATGGTGCTCTGTGAGCACTGAAACTCATTCACATAAAAATAAAATAGCAGCTTTTAAAATCGTGCATTGCCATGTATAAAAGTCTGTGTCTTTGCATGTTAATAACCTCAGTTTCTCCTTAGTATTTAGACATGTATAATTATATTCATCTGTTGCCCCAAACAATTACACCAAGAATACCTTAGACCAGCGGTTCTCAACCTTCCTAATGCCATGACCCTTTAATACAGTTCCTCATGTTGTTGTGACCCCCAACTGTATGAAAGGGAACTATATTAATGAGGAACTGTATTAAAGGGTCACGGCATCAGGAAGGTTGAGAACCACTGCCTTAGACTGTGTGTGTGCTGACACCACAGACCTGCACACACACGCCTGGCCAGCCCACACCTGGGGGGACAGATGAGTAGTGTCGAGGGAGAAACCCTTTCCCTAGCCCACTGGTGGAGGCAGTAGGAACACCTGGTGGAACGGCCCAGGGGCCAGCCTCTCTGTGCAGGCTGAAAGAGGAGACTTGTAAGAGGGATCACGAGGTGAGGTGTCAGGATCTCTCCCAGTGCTCAGTGATTTTCAATAAATTGTGCATTAAGCCTCCTTGGAACAGGCCAGCTGTGGAGTACGAGGTTTCATGACCATAAGGGTGAGAGCAGGAAATTGGGGCGCCTTAGGAAGTGATGAGTGTGCGCCTGTGGTTCCAACCCCCTGCTAGAGCCCCGAGGTGCAGGTCCCCGCACCCAGGACTGCCCTAAGCTGGCACCAGGGACAGTCCTGAGGGCTGAAGACATCATCTGTGGAGAACCTGGCCCGCCCCCGTGTTCTCTGCATGCTGCCACTAACATTATGTTTCCAGTGCTAAAAAAGAAAACCCTGGCTCACAGCCATCTCTCAGTACATTTCTTTTGAGGAAATAAATCATAGTAATAACATGGATTGTTAGAAAACTGCCTACATCTTAGCTTCTCTGATAACTATTTATAAGACAAGAATAACCACATATGTAATTTTCTGATGAGTTTATTACTGACTGTATTACCAAATGTTGCTATGAGATTTTTGGTAAATATATAATTTTTGTGTATTCATTGGAAAAAATCTGTTACCTTTCAGATTCCTCCCTATATTCCTATTTCCATATGACTAAGATTATTTTCTGACTGTGGACTCATCGCTGTACTCAGCCTGGTGAAACAGTGGATGACAACAAGGCTGGCCTGTGTCTACTGACTGACGCCGTGCAGGGCACTCTCAGAACCCAGGTAGCATTCAAATGTCACAGCTAGTGCTCAAAATAGGTTGGATGAACAATAGAGAAAAAGAAATTGCTCATCAGCTGAAGTTTCCTGCCAGTCGTGTTTAAGCTCTGCACTTTCTTTCTAGATTTTGCTTAGCACATGCACGGATGAGTAAAAACAAACCCTGCAGAGTTAATGCCGCTAACTTAAGAAAGTAAAAAGGCAGACCACAGAGGTGAGGAGACAGTCTTGATTTATCTGACGAAGATTCCCAGTTATATGAATAACTCCTACAGACTAATACAGATGAAAAACCCAGTCTAATTTTTGCAAAGTTTACAACAGACACTTCAAAACGAGAGAGGTGATTGAACAGTAAGTACTTGGACAAACTGTTCATCTTCACCCGCTATCATGAAAATGCACACAAAGCCCAAGGCGAGACATCGAGAGATGTCTGCTGGGGCCAAGTTTCAAGCACCCACCCAGTGCTGGCAGGGCCAGGGGATGAGGAGAGCCCTGGTGAGTTCCTCCTATGAGTGTAGATGGTTAAGGCCACTTGAGGAATCTGCTCCTTTTATTTATTTCTTCAGGAGTAATTAAAACACACACTCACAAATGACCGGCATGAGAATGGGTTAAATGATAGGTATCTCCATTTATAACAGCCCCAACCTTGGAGGAAAAACAGGATGTCCATTATTTGGGAAGTGCAGACACAAATTGCATGTGGTTAAGGTATACGATTATGTGCGTGAATTGCCGGGGTGAATACGTAACACATGCAGCCCACAGGGTTGAGTCACAAAACTGTTACACTGATCCAAAAGGGACAAAAATAAAGGGGTCCCCAGTGCGCTATTCCCCTTATGTGAGACTGCAGAACAGACAGGGGTAACATGTGGTGACTGAGGCATCGGCGACGACGCATACGGGGTTGTTCTCCCGGGAGGATGTGCCTGCCCAGGGGAGCAGGGTGCCTGGCAGGTGCACGGCCCACACACACCTCACAGCATGCTGGCACCGCACCTCCCCTCTGTGTAGCTGTTCTCAGCAAGCACAGTGGCTGCCGAAAGCAGCCTCACAAAGTCCTCTCCATACATATAAAATAAGGATTCTAAGAGATGAGAAGATAGTTGTCACTTTTTAATTGGCAATTTACCTTTCCCCTTTGGAATGTCTTATAGTGGACAGTATGTCAGATTCAATGATGTGCAAAAATACATGTGAAAATATTTTTAAGCACCTTCACTCCCCTGAAATAACCCTTAATGAATGCTTCTTTTTTCTCTTTTTAAAAATTTTTTCCCAGAGAACTCAGTGTTGTAATATATGAGCACTCTATTCAACAGAGTTATCACCACAAATGTGGTATAAAGAAGCGGACATGAGAATCAGAAACGGCGCCAAGTTAGATGTGACATGTGCAAGTTTAGCTTTGTTTACAGTAACACTCTGAGCCTGGAAGTGCTGACTTTACTGGCAGGAAGTTGTTTTCATTAGAAAGTGAGAATCAGACCACAGAATGTGTCGAATCTGTTTAGGTCCTTTGTCCAAAGGACTTGGGTTAAGGCAGCTGTGACTTGGCTTCCCCCCGTCTGTGTCTCATGCTGTGTCTCAGCTTCCTTCACGAGCCTCTCACTGGCCTGCTTACATTTCCTCTGCCCGCCCCAACCTTGTTACTCCTGGCTGGCCTGACGCCCCCGTTTTCGCAGGCCTGCCCACACTGCACTGACGTGCATGGACTGGAGTTTGTTTACACCTAATGGCTACTGCCAAGTCCCAATTACCACAGCAGCAGCCACCTGGAAGGCCAGGAGCACGCCGGTCCTGAGCGGAGGCTCTCCCTGCAGCGCTCGGCAGCCCCCCGAGCTGTCCTCACCCTCCCTTAGTCTGTGCCCACTGAGGATAACAACACCCTGTGTCCAGGGATGAGGGCACCACGTGGGCCCACGCCATCCTCTCTCCCTGTCACATGGCTTTGCAGCTCTCCCGACAAGCCTGAGTACACTTCCCTTGCCAGAGACTTTGGGCTTTCACATGTGACCTGACTGTGGCTACTGGGCGACCTGGACCTGACCCGAGTGGGGCCCAGCAGTGCTCAAGTGCCAGGATCCACCTCCCGGGCTGGTGCCATGATAAGAGCACCTCTGGTCTCCTCACTCTTGTGGGGTGGGACAGGCGTGTGAGCCAGAGCCCTGCATCCTGGAGTCCCCAGAAAGCCCCCAGGTCAGCGGATGCATGTGGGGCAAACCCACCCGTGACTGGTGACATTGGGGGTGTCCATGTGAGGGAAGCTATGTGGCTCAGTTGTCACTGTATCTTCAGCTTCAGAGGGCAGACTGATGTCTTTCATTATTTTCACATCTCCTTACAGTATTTTCAGAATCATCTCAACAAACATTCTGAGGTGAGTTCCCAGGCATTGTCTCCCAGGTGCTCCGCAGCCCCTATCCCAGCCTCAGTTGTCACCAAACTGCCACCAGTGGACACCACACACCAGGCACTGGCCAGCTGCACCTTTGCCAGGTCAGAGGAAACCAGCCATGGTTTCTAAGAGTGCTGGGCTCACCTGAGGCCCACAGCTCTGGGGCATCCTTGAGAGCAAAGATTTTCCACTGGTGCACCATGAGAGGATCAATGTGCCACAAAAAGTTTTGAAGATCATCAAATTATTTTCAAAAGAAGTTCAAAGTACAGTAAGTATATACATATTTTTTACTCTTTTTTACTTTTGATCAACATAACTTAAGTAGATACAAAAGTTTAACTATAGGCTCAAGTGTGCTGTGAGATAAAAAAGGTTGAAACTCACTGCTTTAGAGAAAGGGCCAGTTAAGGTGGTGACCGTCATCCCCACAGTGGATGATGGCTTTAAGCAATATGAGGCCACAAGACACACACAACACAGAATAGCAGGCAACACAAACATTAACAAACCAAGATGAAACACAGGGCAACGTAGCAGCAGGCAGTGATCGGCAAGTGCCAGCTGCAGTGCCACCACCGCTGCTCAGTGCCAAGGGCCAGTGTTCCCGAGGAGCTCACACACTGTCACCAGCCTGGTCAGCACATGGAGAAAATGATGCCTTTTCTGCTTGTTTCATCCTTGTTCTACTAAATTTTACCAGGAACACAAATGCT